GCCTTGGTGTGTTTGGGGATGTCTGTATTGACTGACTGTGGTGTGCTGAATGCGATACGGCACCTGGTGGATGCTGATTACAGAATTTTAAGACGTGTATGATACAGTAACTGGCAGTGTGGGGCAGCTGCAATTGTATCTTGAAAGTGAGTCTTTCATGGGAATCAGAAGATTAGGATGCCAATGATTTGTCTCAAAAAAGTTAATGAATTTGTAGATGGACTTTCACTGAAAGATGATACTAAGGATAATAATGATGGCAGCATAAATTATTTTTACTAGAGAGAGGAAATACATGTAGAAAAATCATGTTATCTATGAGACTGAAGCTTTTTTTTTTTCAAATAATTTTGAAAAAGTATTTCACTCTTGCCTTGAAATTAATAAATCAGGCTGGAGCTGTAATATTGATGTTGTGCATTGTCCTCTCAGGTCTGGTTTTGAGGCCAGGCCACATGCGGATAGTGCTGTGAAGGAAGAGGTCACACCGTGCTGGATAGGTAAGTTGTCCTGCTGAAACGAGATTGCAGCTGGGAGTGCCTTTTTACCTCTGCTTTTTAACCATGACGGAGAGCTGGTCACTCTGGGTAACAGGAAAATAAGGTGTTGCCAAAATAAAACCAAGTTTGTCCTTTCAGTGTGAGGTGTAGAGCTGCCCTTTCTCACAGTGTGTTTAGTGTGTTTAAAGCAGCCTGGCTTTGTCTGAGTGCCCCTGTGCTGGGGGTTTTGGCTACAGGTTCAGTGGGGTTGAGGCTGGGAGAGATGCTGTTGTTACCTGTGTCTTGTTGGTGTGCCAGGCCTCTTGTGTCCTGGTGATAAATTCCCTCGCTGGGAACTTGGAAAAGGCAGCTTGTCACCAGCTCACCCCCTTCTGTGTGCCGGGCACTGGGAGTGCTGGCTGCATCCTGCTGGAGATGTTCCCTGGAGATGCCACCTTTGAGCCTCCTTGCTCCTTTCTGGGAGAGTGAGACATGCTTCAGCCAGAGCCACGAGCCTCGTTGTTGGCATCGTGCCTTTAACTGCACCAAAGAGAAGGAGGGAGGGCAGATGACTTCAACACGTTGTTGTTGGTTTTGTTTTAAAGAGCATCTCCTGTTTTCATGGTGGCAGGAGCAGGGACAGTATTGGGGCTTCAGATGTTTTGGAATCCTTGAAATCTCTTTTGTATCATCTCCCTGGCATGGCCAGTATTTGTTCCTGGTGTTATTTTGATGTTACATAATTGAGAAAAGATTAGGACCATCAAATCTTGTGTTAGAAGTCAAATCCAAAAGAAAACAGAGCCTACCTGTTTCTCTTGGAAGTCAGCAAGGTGCTAGTACCAGAGAAGGGCTCATGCTGGGTTTTAGACACAATGAAAGGTGAGTGAGAAGTGGAGTGTGTGTGCTGCTGAAAGAGAAGTAACCTCTTTACTGCACTAATACCCGCTGAAACGTGTTCTCTTGTCCTGGCTGAAATTTGTTCTGGTTTCCAAAATACTCCCATGGTCCTGAATTGTTTCTATTTATTTGTGTGTACTCCATGATATCTCCCTGCTCTAAAAATAAAAATAATTAAAAATCAAACTAAGTTCTTCGTGGTAGACAGGGTTTTTTTAAGTTACTACAATATCCTGAATATAGAAAATGAACTTGAAATGTTTACCATATCTTAACAAATATAGATTCTGTAATGTTTTATGTTTCAGTTTATTAATTTGCCTGAATAGTTATCTCTTGAGCTGTTCAACTAGATTCTTTTAACTACTGAAGCTAATAAATTATTCCAGAATAATCACGAACTTTATTAAAAGAAAGAGTAATGTGATAAGCTGTTATTTCTATCACCAGTGACTTGTGACAACTGCCATGTTAAATATGTGCAGCCCATGTTTCTCCTACGGGGGTTTATGCGTTCAAGATGTACAACTCCTTAAAATTTGTAGATATATATAGCAAATGTAAAGCACTGTTTTAAATAGAATTGTGATTTAACTTCCGCTAAGCACAAATTATTTTGCATTTCAACCTGCACTGGCTACTCCAGGTGCAATGTATCCATCCTACTCACATTTGCTATTTAAGAAAAAACCCGTGGAATCTGTCTGCACACTTTTCACTGCCACTGGGTGGGTAGGAGACATGTTGTTTCTCCAGCAGGAGGATGAAAAAACATTGTAGGCACTGGTCGTCCTTCCTCTTGTTGTTCCTCAGTGACATGATGGCATGTTTCTGGGGTTACACAAACACTGGTGGAACAGGGAAAAGGCTGCTACCAGCCTCCAAGCTTCCAAAAATGAATGCCCCAAAATGCTGTGGAGATGGCAGTGAAAGTGGCTGTGCCTGCACTGCCCCTCAGGTGTAGGAGCAGATCTGGAGATCTGCAGAGTTGGCTGGGGGACCCGGTGCTCCCTTGGTATTTGAGGGGCTGCTTGGGCTGATGGCAGGCTTGTCCCATGAGGAGTTACAAGGGCAATTTCCACTTCAGGTCCAAGACAAGCAATGTGCTCTAAAATAGCCAAGGAGTAGCCAGTTTGCCCATTGTGAGAGTCCTGTGCTGTGCAGAGCAGGCAGGGAGTGTGTGTGTGTGTGTGTGTGTGTGAAGAGGTGTGCTAAGAAGGTTCACTTCTAAAGTTATGTTCATGTCAAATAACAGCAATGCTGTAGACAAGGGCTTAGGGTTGTTGGCTTTTGGCCGAATCAATAGCAATATCAAGGTGATGTGCTTGGGGACCCCAAGATGCGACATTTCAAACCATTAAGAAGCATATAAAGCACAGAAATTTAACTTTTGAAGACTATTTGTACCCACAGGTGTAAGATACAATTTTCTGTCCATATAGGCATTTCCTAATAACACATGGGAAGCAGGTTTGGCCTTTCTGTGTGGATTAACGTATCAGATAAAATATAGAAGCACTGTCTTACCTTCATGTCTTTTTGTTCTTTCGTTGCCTATGTCTAGCCCTGTAGAAATTGGTAGAATTGCCACAGTTGTTTTAAAGGTCTTTTCCTGAAGGATCCTTTCTTACCTGCTGCAGCTTTCCATCTGCCTTTTCCCACCCAAGGTCACCCTGATCTCTTCGCAGCCCACAGGGCCTGTCAAGGACTCTGTATGGCAGAGTGCCTGCTGGGAGCCCCGTGCTGTTAGCTGTGTTTTCCTTCCCTCCTTTCCCAGAGAGCAGGCTTGCAGCTGGAGTGGCAGCACTGCAGCTGGGCTGGCTTTGCTGAGCACCTCCTGGCACTTCAGTGGTGCCAGCTGAGGGCAGGGACAGCCCTGCTCAGGCCATGTGTCCCCACAGCCCCACTGTGCCCTCCTCCCTGCTCTGCTCCAGCAAGCTGGCAAACCACCCTTGCAGCTTCACAAACGTCAGGGAGGTGCATTCCTGGGACAGTGTTCCATGTTCTGGTGGATGTCAGGCTTGTTCAAGCTGCCCTTGCACAGCTCTGCTGGTCCTCACTGAGGTAGGGATGCTGCATGCCCCATTCCAATGGGTGGTTTGAGCACCATTTATTCTGCCAGCTGCAGGATAGGACCACAATGTTGCTTTTTGAAAAATCAGTATGTCTGATGAAGTTTTTAGTTTGAACAATATTGGCTAAATTTTACCATTGCTGTCCACTCACAGACTCAACTCACAGAGGATGAAGCAGAGAAAGTCATTAAAAATTTGTAATTGTGTAAAATTAATGATCACTTCTTTTAGCTTTTACTCCCTCCATACTAATTCCAAATGTTTGATTACACCATTCCACAGTTTCACCTCAATTAAAACAGGAAAACCACTGGAGGCTTTAAAAAAAAATCGAAGTAATGGTATTCACCACAGTATCCCTGTGGATTGAAATAACGGTGTAAAGGTTGCGTTTAGAAAGTTTAAAGTAAATTCTGCATTTCAAGGCTGTCTTTGGAACAGTTATTTCTTGACTTCTCTGCATGGGTAGTGCCCATTCCAGGTCCATGGAACAGACACACATGGCAGTGTGTTGCATGTTGAGGAATGCTCCATGTGTGCACTTGCTGTCAGGAGCGGGGCTGGGTCTGTGCTGCCATCAGAGCTCTTTGTGGCTCTGTGCACTTAATGCCTGCAGAGTTTTATTTTCTACATGCAAAATGAGTGTGCTCAGCAGAGAAACTGATAAACCACACAGCAAATCAAATCTGCAGCTGTCGGAAGAGGGTGTGGGACGTGTAAGTTAACAGAATAGGTGCAGTGAGTTTTGGAAAGGCAGGGCCTGGCAGCCTGGGGCGGGCCGAGCAGGAGCACGGGGCTTTCCTGCCCTCGCAGCTCTGCTGCTGCTGCTGTGGGAGGGGAAGGTTTGGCTTTGGCACTGCTGGGCCCTGAGGGCAGAACTCTGCACAACGGGGAATTGGGAAGGATTAAATTGGGTATGGGGATTTCTCCAAACGCAGATAAATAACACACCAAGGGCTATTTATGTAAGAGTGGGGATGGAGGAAGTACTGACCATGTTTTCATCCCCAGCGACCCAGGCCCAGCACTGGGCCCCACCACAGCCACAGCAGAGACCCTCCACCCCTCCCAGGCAGTGTCACCACGCCTCAAGGCACCCAAGCCTGGAATCAAAAGAGCTAAGGTAAATTATTTTTAGAAGGGCATGTAGGGACAGAGCAAGGGACAATGGCTTTAAACTGGAGAGTTTGTGATTAGATACTGGGAAACAATTTTCCCTTTGAGGGTGGTGAGGCCCTAGAAGCTGTGGATGCCTCATCCCTGGAAGCATTCAGGGCCAGGCTGGGTGGGGCTTTGAGCAGCCTGGTGTAATGGAATGTGTCCCTGCCCAAGGCTGGGGGTCGGATTCGATCTTTGAGGTCTCTGCCAGCCCATCCCAAGCCATTTTGTGGGTCTGTGAAATCCCTGCACTGCTTGTGCCTCTGATAGCAAGTTCCCTTGCTGTATTTTGGTGTAATGATCACAGCAGCATGCACGGGGGAGGGAGGAGGGTTTGTAAGGTGATTTGGCAAAGCCCTTGGTGAGGACCTTCAGCCCCCGGCCTAGA